CTCTCCAGTTGCTGCCGCCTGTCATCAGTTGCTGCCGCCTGTCATTCGGCTGTCACTCCTCTGCCCATCGTCTACGGAGGGGGAAAGAGGGAGGGGGCATGGGGGATGACAGCCCGGCCCCACCCACCCCCGCGCCTCTACCAGAAGTCCCGGGTAAGAGTCGGGGTCACAGTATTTTGTGACAACCACTCTGTTGGCGAACTTGCGACCTGTCAGGCCCTGCATGGCTTTCTGGCAGTCAAACACAGAGGTGAACTCCACGAAGATCTGCAGGAGAGAGGCAGGGGAGAGGCCGGGTCCCTGTAGGCGCTAGCTGGCCACTCAGCCATCAGCCAGCACCACCCAAACCCGGGGCTCACTGCAGGTGGGGGGCATTTCCCACATGCCCTCCAGAACCCGGGGTCAAAGAGCAGGAGAGCAGGGAGCAGAGGTGTGCAGAGGCAGGGCAGGCTCCAGGGGGAGAGGTCACACGTGTGATCTCTGTACCAGGTGGACCCCAGGCACCCAAGGGCCATGCTCTCCCCAGACAATGGATGAAGTAAGGGAAACTCAGAAACTAGGCTTCAAACCTGAGTTGACACAGAAGAAAAAGTTGAACTTTGATCTATTCAGGTGCCTACTTGCTTGAACCACCAGTTTACAGGAGCCAAGGGGGGCTACGTGGGTTCTGGAATGCCCCTACTGCCTCAGCAATGAAAACGGCTTGCAAAGGCGGCAGGGGGGATGCAGAACTCATCAATTGTAAGCAAGTTTAAAACCAAGTTGCATGATTCCTGGTTTGTACCCCGAAAGGAACCAACTGGAGGAGACATTTTTGAGACCCTAAGGAAAACCTGAGCACAGACCGGGTAGGTACTAAGGATGATTTTGTTAACAATGGTATTGCAGTGTCGTTAAAAGGTTTAAAAAGTTACGTCAAGCAGTTCTCAGCCAGGGCGAATGTGTCCACAGGCTACGTGACAGTGTCTGGAGGTGTGTTTTGGTTGTCACAGGGGTGTGCAGTGCTCCCAGGATCTGGTGACAGAGCTCAACATCTAACAATGCACAGCACAGACCCCAAAACTAGCTGTCTCAGTGTCTCAGGTGAAAACACGCCACCTGCCTCAAGTTATTTCAGCAGAAAGGGGGGGTGGACGGGAAGCTGACTATAGACTTTATGAAGGACAAATTGTCGGTAACTGGAAGCTACACTCTAAAACTGCTATATACATGCCACACACAACCCAAATAATATACTACATCGCTATCACTCTGACAGTTTCTCTCTACTTTTACATGTTTGAAAAGAATAAAGTTTAAAAACAAAACAGGCTGATCCCAGAGACGAGGCAGGATCACTGGTTCCTCTGATACTCAGGCCCCTCGTGGGCCAGGCTCCAGGCCCCGTCCTCGTGCTGCTGACAGCACCAAGCACACTCCTGCCCCAGGCTCTGCCCCGCCCCGCCCCCCACCTGCCTGCTGCCAAGAGCGGGGCCCCCTCAGGTGCTTACGGGCACCTCTGCACCCTGATGTTCCCATCTGAGAGCAGTGCCAGGGCCTGCGCCCTTCCCCGCAGTGACAGGCCTGGCCGGCTTCAGCGGGAGGCACTCCGGTTCCCTGGGTGAGGTGCACAGCCTGCCTCCAGGGCACAGGGCTGGAGGTGACAGGACCCAGGGGGCTCGGAAATCAGGCCGTGAGAACCTGACACCTGACCATGTGGCTTGTGTCCTCCCAGGAAGGGGCCCCAGGAGCTGCTGGGAGAGCTCTGGGGTAACCAGGTGAGTTTAGCGGGGTCGCTCAGAAGGGCACCCGGCACCCAGGAGGTGAGTGTGTAGGCGTGGTGACTATTTTTAGCACTTTTCCCCCACTCCGAGGACAAGGCCAAATCACCTGCACACAAGGTCACATAGCAGCCAAGCTCTGCACCAAGTTCTGGCCACAGCAGTTCCGCTGCCTGCACGGGCCCTGGGTGCCCGCGGGCCAGAGGAGGGTGTGTAGGAGACGCCGGAGAGCGGCGGGGCAGAGGGCAGACGCACGCATCTTCCCGCAGCCGGGCACCTCGACGCCGTCCACGGGCCGGGGGACCTCGATGGACTTGACCAGCCCGTACTTGCTGCACTCGTCCCGCACGTCCTCCACGATCTCCTCGTACTCCTCGTCGTCCAGCAGCTCCTCGGGCAGCACCATGTTCATGAGGCACAGGACCTCCGTGGGGTGGCCGCCCATCTGCACCTGGGAGCTCATCAGGCCCGGCACTTGCAGGGTCACGGGGGTCTGGTTGATGGTGCTCTGTGGGGCAAGCAGGCAGGGGTGTCACAGCCGCCCCCCCAGATGCCAACCATCCCGGCACACCGAGCCCCGCCCCTTCCCGCCCCCCGGCCCCCAAGCCAATGGAAGATGACGTGCCGGGAGGCTCACCAGCGTGGCATTCTTGGCTCCCACACTCGCCCTCTGGACCAGCAGTTTCTTGTCCCCCAGCTGCATCCCGTTCAGCCCCGCAATGGCCTATGTTTGGAGGACGACGGGTGGGGGCGCAGGGAAGAGGTACGGGTCAGGGCCCAGGAGCCCACGGTGCCCCCAATACCACAGGTCGGGCATTGGTGGGGGAAGAGGGGAAGGCAAAGGGCTGGGAGCTTGGAAAGCCCCGGCAGGGCCCCGAGGCTGGCCGGCCTCCTCCCACCCATCCCGAGGGGAGACCTCAGCGATAACACAGCAGGGTGGGGGCAAGGGCGGATTCAGCCGAGCCGGGGCCCGGGGCTCACCTGGTCCGTGACGTTGATGTCCACGTACTCACAGAAGGCGTAGCCCTTGGAGAGCCCGGTGGCGCTGTCCTTGACCAGGTTGAAGGCCTTGAGAGGCCCGAACGATGTGAGCAGCTCTTTCACCTGTGGGGGCGGCCGC